GCGGGCGGGCGGGACGGCGCGGGGTGCCGGGGGGGGGGGGACAGACGGACAGTGAACGGACGGACGGACGGACGGACGGACGGGGTGAGAGGATGTGAAGATGGCGGAGCTGCAGATGCTGCTGGAGGAGGAGATCCCGGGGGGGCGCCGGGCCCTGTTCGACAGCTACACGAACCTCGAGCGGGTGGCCGAGTACTGCGAGACCAACTACATCCAGGTGCGGCGGGCGGGGCGAGGCGCGCGCAGCCTAACGGTCGCCGTCCTAGCCTAACGGTCGCTGTCCCCGCCTAATGGTCGCCGGCCCCGCGGCGGACCCGGCGGCGGCGGGGGGTGGGCCTGGGGGAGGCCCTCGCTGCCCGGTCCCGGGGTCGGCGGCGGGGGAGGGGAGCGGGGGCGTGCCACCCTTGTCCCCTTGGCGGTGGGAGGGTGACAGGCGGGTGGCAGCGGCTGCTGCAGCCCGGGGAGGAGGAAAGCTGGTTCACCTCCAGAATGAACTACCCCGGCGTGACGAGGCGTTTAAATATTTAATTGATTTCTAAATTAAATTCCTTCCACTTTGTAAGCGTGTTGAATATTTATTTCGGATTGTGTCTCTGTCGCTCCTTTTCGTTCCCTTCCCACCTTCCGCTCTCCTTTGCTGACAGCACTGAGATGATGTGATAAACCGAGGAGATATCTGACTCCTGTAAATATAGTATTTGTGCTTATTAATTTAGAGTACAATGACATATGTTTTAATTGGGATATGCCTGTCCGTTTATATTTGTCTTCCCAAGCAGGGCTGCGGTATTCGACAGGATGGGCAGCTACCAAGTGGTAGGTGCAGGACGAAAGCATGATGTAGTAGAGATGATACAGAATTAGGGAGAAAGAGATCAAGCACGAGTTGCTACTGCGGTGTGTGATTTTTGTGGTGACCACTCTGAAGTCAGGTTGGTGTTAGGACTCTGGGTTTTTCCTTTCTTTCTCTTTTTACTAGGAAGAGAAGCAAAATATAGGCAGTTTACTTTGATAGTGATAGGGCCAAATGAAAGAGTTCCCCCCAAAACAAATTTAAAAAAAAGGGAAAAAAAAACCCAACACATTAGTTGTGGGTCATTCCTAAGAAGGGTCTGAGTGTGTAGGAAAGAAAAGAGGGGGACTTGGGTTTGTGGTGTCAATGTTGAGAGAAGTACAAAGGGTCCCAGTTTTATTTTTGCTTTCAGTCCCCTAAGTGGAGAGTGCTTGTGTGTTTCCAGGGGGCAAGTAGGGATGAGATCTCTGGTGAGACTATTCTGTCAGTGAAAATGGGAGAGAATATTTAACCAGTGACAGAGAATACTTAAAATGTCCCTGTAAAAAAGCTCTGACTGTTTCTTTTGAATTGTTGAATGACCAACTGTCCTTTAGAGAGGCGACTTTGTGTATTTTGGGTCATTTACAAAACATGAAAATTACAGTGTAATTATATAGATATGTTTTTATCATGTAATAACTTTTCCTGTGTTGAGTTAGTGTGACTTACATTCTTTAAGAGAAATATATTGAAATATTTTCTTACAGTCATAACCTGACATATGTAAATTTTTGCTTTTTTGAAAACTGGGAAACTGATTTTTCTGGAATAGGGGAGAGGAGTCTTGAAAGGCAGAACTGGATAGGAAGAAGTGGATGTAGTTTGGTTTTTTTGTTCTTTGACCTTTTTTTTGTGTTCTTCATATAAACCAAAGTTTATAAAACCTTTACTGAACAGCTCCACTTTTATTGTTTTAGTAAAAACTACAGAGGAGGACTCCATTCTTTTTTGTACAAATAGAGAACGAAAAAAGATGGTTATTGCCCCAGACAGCATACAGTCTGTAAGGACAGTCTAAGATAATAGGAGATGGATACAAGCAGATGGTGAGTGAAGGAAAAGAATGAGGCACTCTTGGTCAGCCTGATGGATTCTGGCTACCACACAGCAATACCCTGACTGTCGGCAATTTATCCAAGCATCGTGACAACAGAGAGCTCGAAGGGGGAGGTGGGAATGAAAGAATGGAATTGTGTTGTGAGTGTTGACTGTGAGGTGCAGTATGGGTCACAGCATGAACATGTTGAAATTTTAAACAAGTGGGGAATGGAGGACATCAGCCAGGTGATAGGCTCCAGCCTTTGGAATTGGCTGAGAGACCATAGAGTGGGATTACTGTAGAGAAGACATCCAGCGTGAGGGGATTCTGGATTTAGTGATGTGAGTGTCCTAGTAACGAATCTGTCAGCAAACCCACCCCCCCTTCACGGTGCCAGACCTACATAGACTCCTGCACAGGATCTGTATACAAAGCTGATTTTTCCTTCTCTGCAAGAGTAGGAATAGGTAAACGGATATAATTATTGTTTATTTGGATATTGGTGATTTTGCTTCTAATTATAATTATTATTCCAAAGCTGTTATGTCCAATTAAGTCCAAATTATATTAAAAAACAGTAGCCTTGGATTTTGTGGCAAAGATGAGCTTGTGATTGCTTGGAAGCATGTGGAAGAGTAATTGTCCAGAAGGTCACGTGGTGAAGATGGACTAATTCTACTGTAATCCTTTAGTGTTTCATTGTTGACAGAAGATTTTGTCGTGGATATTCTTGAGATCTCCTGGAGGAGGCTCAGAATGTGACTGAGATCTGAACTTGGTCTGCAGGATGATAGACAGTGCGGTGATGGGGGCACTGAAGGCATTACATTGGCCTGTATTTGTCAGTAGACAAGCTGCTTCCTTTTCTTTTTGTGCCAGTTGGTGCTTCGAGGTTTTCTTGTCGAGTACAAAAATTGTTGCAAAAGTCAGTGGAGGCATAGGTCAGTTTAATAGAGAATTTGACGTTCAGTGCTAAGGTGAATGTGTTTTTCCTCTTTCGTCCCGTTAGCAACATCATAGCAGCTTCAAAATAATCGAACGTGTAATCTCTTACATGTGGAAATTGCTGGTTCATAGCAGTAGAGTTGTGGCGACTGCAACTCATTTGACTTCTGCTTATGAAATGAAAAATCCATTCTTTAAAATTTTGGCAGTGTTTATCCAAATTATGATTGATACTTGATGAGCTCCATTAGTTTAGCAACAGGGAATGTTACATAAATTGCTACCCTTCCCCTGAGTCTGTGATACAGTAGTATATCAGAGCACATCAGCTTAAAATTTTGTGGAAAATGATAGGAAATACAGCAAATAGATAAGAAATGGACCTGCAGCAATGAAAGACGAAAGGCTACTGTTTGGGCAAAACCCGAGTGGTTTTCATTCATTGTTCTTCACCAGTGGTTGTCCTTTTTAAATTTTCCCACCGGGTAAGTCAGTCTCCCAGCCCTCCAGCCAATCAGTTACCTAGTAAGGTGATGTATTTTTCAAGAGACACTACTCCGTTAAATAGGAAAAGAAATTGATAGAAGAAAAACCTAAAGTATAATTTCAGCTTGCATACTACAGCAATGAGTTTAATAAATTTTCTGTGATTATGATTCTACTTTAAATAATAATAATAATAATAATTCAGTTTAAGCATAAATTGCTCACTTTAATCTGCTTATGTTACTACAGAAATCAAATAACTTTTCTTACCAAAAAGGTCTTATTCTTCTAATAACTTGGAGAAATCATACAGTTATTTCTACGTCACACCTCTTCTTCTTAAAGAGAAGGGGAATATATGCATTTTTATTTCGGAGGATGTTTTTGTGGTATCTGATGCAATGTCAATCACAGATTAAATTTTATACCGTCTGTTCAACACTTTATGTGCTAGTGCTGTGTCCTCTGTTACCCAAGTTCAGTCTCAGTCTAAACTGTGCAACAGAGTAATTCTATAAAATTTGGTTATCTGGTATACTTGATATTATAAAAACCCCATGTTTGCAGTCTGCGTTGATATACCTGTGTCTCTCATAAAAAGCAGAGAATAGTTATACTGGACAGTGTGCCATGTTTACAAAATTTTCATATTCCTGCATTATTTTTGATCAGGGGTATCCTAAAGAAAATTTCTAGCTATGATTGTGTAAGTAACAAAACCAAGCAATTATGCGATTTGCACATCTCGTTACTGGTATACTAACATAAATTTTAATACTATCTTGGCCTGTCCAGTTTCTTTGAGCTTGCCCTGTATAAGTCTATTCTGGAATAATCTTTTGTTTGTTTCTTGTGATCATCGCTCTTTTAAAAAATCAGCTTTTCATTTTGTGCAGTGCATGGAGCTTTCTAGAGTAACTGAATGCTTGTGTCTGTTAACTCTTTGTTGAAAGAGTCAGAAAAAATTACCAGATGGAGACATTTCAGCCAGTAAATATCTATTGGGAACAGATTCAGGGTGGGGGGGAAGTCCCACCACCAAAGTTAATGTGCAGAATTGAGTGAAAAGCCAAGCCTCTGTGCCCTGCTCAGCTTTCAGAAGGAGCATACGATTTCTGTGTGCTGTGTTGCCCAGATTCTTCTAAAATGCTCTGTATTTCTTAGTTTTTCAAGATTATTATGCTTTACTTGTCAGCTCTAGAGACTAAAAAGGAAGAGTGAGCTTCTGATTCTCCTCTCTTGATAGTCTTCAGGTTACCATGACTGTATTGCATTTTATGTACCGAAACAGCCTTCTAGTGTTTGTGAGGGGAAGGATGGGAAGGGGATTTTTATCGCTGTTCTTAGTATTCCATCCTTCTGGTTATTAGAAGTACCTGCTTTCAGCTCCTGCAGATAGCTTTATTTAAATAGACATAAAGGTCAAAACTACTTGTTTCTCAGTAATTTTGCTATAGTCTGTACATTGATGAGTTTCATAGTAATTTTCCACATACCTGTTAATTTTACTTAGACCTCCTAAGCAAAACCAAGTAGCTGTAGATTTGGAAGCATCTTCCAGTAGGTTGAACAAGAGAATAAGCCATCTATTAGCATACTAGTTTTAAATTACAGAAATGGTGGTCCTTTACAAATACTAACCTAGTGCTTACAGCTTTAGTAATGTAATGTGAAATTTCTGCAGAGCTGCTTGTAATGACTGGTATCAGTATGTAACTTGTGTAAGTATATAGGGAATTGCAGGTGTTATGGTTTATAAACAAGTTCAAGAAAGATCTCTGTTGTCTTTACTGAAGATGAGATGTGTATTACCTTAACAAAGGCAACTGAGTTAGATTTCTAAAATTTATTTAACCATCAGAAATGTGAGTATCAGAGGAAAGTTGTTTTCAACCTTTCTGTTCCTTAAACT